AAATAATAAGCTACTGTGTAATTATAGTGATATTTTACAATTTTTTTCAGCTTTAACTTGGATCCAGAGTGCAAGTGCACTGATGACAGACTCTGGGAGGCATTAGAAATAGCTCAACTAAAGAACATGGTCAAATCGCTGCCGGGAGGGTTAAGTACGTCTGTGCAACTGCATAAAACGCTTCATAAGACACCGGAATTAAAAATATCAAGGATGAGGTTTGATGTTTTAATGCTGATTCTCACAAGTACAGACCCCTGGCATTTGTTCAGTTTATTTTACCCAGAACCTCATAAATCAGCTGATAGTATTCCTGTTGCTCATTGACGAATGTCTCTTGCCATTAAACAGCAAAATATGATCACAAAAATAGTTTGGTGAGGTAGGTTTCTGCTTTGCTTTTCCATATTTTTTGTAGCACACAAATTCTTTTGTTTGGCACTGCCCCAACCGTAGATCTCTCCTTCACTAACTGTGGTAGTTAAGGATTATTAGATCAGCTATGATCTCATTGAATGGTGGAGCAAACTTGATGGGCTGAATGGCCTAATTCTGCTCCGAAACCTTATGATCTTGTGGTACTTCATTTAGACCTCTTGGTACCACAGAGTCATAGAGATATACAGCATGGAAACAGATTCTTCACTCCAACACATCCATGCCGACCAGATATTCTAAATAAATTTAGTCCCATTTGCCAGCATTTGGCCCATATCCCTCTAAACCCTTCCTATTCATATACCCATCCAGATGCCTTTTAAATGTTGTAATTGTACCAGCCTCCACCATTTCCTCTGGCTGCTCATTCGATACACGTACTACCCCCTGCATGAAAAAAGTTGCCCCTTAGCTCCCTTTTAAATTTTTCCCCTGTCACCTTAAACCTATGCCCTCTAGTTTTGGACTCCCCACCCCAGGGAAAAGACCCATGTCTGTTTACCATTTCCGTAACCTTCATGATCTTAGAAATCTCTATAAGGTCACCCCTCAGCCTCCTACACTCAAGGGAAAATAGTCCCAGTCTATTCAGCCTCTTCCTTTAGTTCAAATGCTCCAACCTTGGCAACTTTCTTGTAAATCTTTTGAGCCCTTTCAAGTTTCACGACATCCTTCCTATAGCAGCGAGACTAGAATTGCACGCAATATTCCAAAAGGGGCTAACCAATGTCCTGTACAGCCGCAACATGACCTCCCAACTCCTTTACATGATCCACTGACCAGTAAAGGCAAGCATACCAAACGCCTTCTTCACTGAACTATCTACCTGCGACTCCACTTTCGTGGAATTGTGAACCTGCATTCCAAGGTCTCTTTGTTCAGCAATAAGTCCTGCCCTAAATTTGCCTTTCCAAAATGCAGCACCTCGGACAAGGTAAAGACTTAATATTCAAGGATACTAACAAGTAATATCGATGATATCTCGTATGAAATTTTAGTTGGGGTTTTTTAGAATTCTTTCCTGGGGTCCGGGGAATTGTTGGTTCAGACAGCATTTATTGCCAATCTCTAATTCCCCTGGAGAAGGTGGTGGTAAGCTGCCTTCTTGAACCTCTGCACTCCATGTACTAGAAGTGAGTCAGAATTTTGACCCAGTGACACGGAAGGAACAATTTTATAGCTCCAAGACTGAATGGTGTCTGGCTTGGAGAAGAACTTAGTTTCTTTCTCTCATTTGCTCTCATAAGCTTTACAGATGAAACTTAAAATGAATAACAAAAATTATAATGGAAATCCACTTCATGCATAAGTTAGCAACAACATCAAGAACTTGCATTTATGTAGCACCTTTACTGCAATAAATAGGTTCCAAAGATGGTTTACTTGAGCACTGCCAGACGTAATCGGCACACAACCAAAGGAGTGTGGCATTCGGACAGTTGAAGATGTAAGCATCTTAAAGGTAGAGAATTGTGAAGAGGCAAAGAAATTTAGGCAAGGAATTTCAAACCATTAGGGTTGTGTGCATTGTGCTAATAAAACTCCAAATGGAAAGTAAAAAGAATCTGGACAATGAGTTTTCAGTAAATGTATGCCTATAGCACAAAACTGTCATTAATTCTCCTAATTGATGGCTACAGTCAGCTCAGACTGCCCAGTGCTGTGAGGTGTCCTGAGGTCTTCAGTGACAAGGCTAAAAGTATCTGTTACCATCTCCCTGGAGAAACTCAGTCTCCTTTGGCACTGGGTCTCAGACATCTCCAGGTTGCTCCATCAGCGCATTAGATCCTGTGTTGAGGGGTTGACTTCCATTGCTCCCCTTCACTGCTGTGCTGAAAATATGATCATCGGGACCCATTGGAGCTTTTGTTTGTGAATGGGTGGTTACTGTATAGTGATTTGCAGTAACGCCTTGTCTTTCTCTGGCAACTTGGTATTTCTAGACGAACACCCCACTCCCCCACCTCTTTGTAACCTTGTCGGGCTTCAAATATTCAACCCTTAAACTTCACATGGTTTAGTGAAAGTTGGAAAAATAACGCAATTCTGAAATAGAGGACTTTTTTTCTGAATTTGGGTCATTGAGTTTTATTCTGCATAATGCAGTGTTAAACTTGATCTGAGCATTGCTTCATTCTGATATTGAGCAATTGGCATGGATTATATTCCACTTCTGAACATTAACAGCAACATCTTGTCCTTGCATATAAAAACAATCAATTTAACGGACTGCCTGAACCTGGACTTGAGTCTAGGTAGACACTTCAGTGCAATACCGAAGGAGTGCTGCACAGCTGAGATTTTCTCTTTTAGATTACGTTAATTGAGGTCCGATCTTCGTTTGTTCAAGTGAACACAGAATATCCGTTAGGTAAAACAATGGCATTATCCCAGTGCATTGCTTGTCTGATGCATCTGCCCACATACCAGTGCTGACATTTCAACAGCAATTCATTTTGGACATTTTTTTTTTGAAGCCATAAAGTCAGCTGTATGAATGCAAGTTCTTTCTTACCACAAGACACCTTACAAATGACAGTAAATTATTGAGACAGTTCATCATTTGGATACTGACAACTAGTGAAAGGCCAACCATTGATCACTGTGTTGCAAAGTCTGAGCAACTTGACCTTTAGTTCTAACATGTAAATCCAGGTCCCTTGTTATTTGTGCAGATGCCATGGTAACTGAAGGTGGAGAGAACTTCAGCGTTGGGCAGAGACAGCTCTTCAGTTTAGCCAGAGCATTTGTACGGAAGAGCAGCATTCTGATCATGGATGAGGCTACGGCATCTATTGACATGGCTACAGTAAGTCAGGATAGACCAGCATTTTACCTTCACATAAAACATAACTTTATCAATTGTTAAATGTCTACAAATTATTTTCTTTCTTGTACATTCCCAAATATTTAAAAGAAAACAAAAATTTAAGAGAGTATAATTTTTTAAAATACCCTGCTCTTCCTGGATTTATCATGTCTTTTAAATGTTAGGTTGTACATCCACTACATGGAGCATTCCTTGCAAAGAAAGAGAGACAACATCTCTTAACTAGTACAAGAACTAATCCAAGAAATCATGCTATGGTTGAGCAGCTTTCATAATGTAAACCAGTCCACAAAGGTGGGAACTAAACATTCAGGAGTATATAACTTGTCAAAAGGATATAGGCAGCATGGTGGCTCAGTGGTTAGCACTGCTGCCTCACAGCAGGGGGAATCCTGGTTCGATTCCACCGTCCAGTGACTGTGTGGAGTTTGCTCATTCTACCCTTGTCAGTGTGGATTTCCTCAAGGTGCTCCAGTTTCTTCCCATTGTTCAAAGATGTGCAGGTTAGGTTTATTGGCCATGGGGAATGCAGGGTTACAGAGATAGGGTGGGGGGTTATCTGAGTGGGATGCCCTTTTGGAGGGTCAATGTGGCCTCAATGGGCTGAATGCTTTGGTTCCACACTGTAGGGATTCTATGATAGGCAGGTGAAAAAAGGTGGTTCAGTAGCTTTGTTAGTAGAAGATATAATATGTATATTACCAAGAAATGATCTAGGATTGGAAGGTATATATCCATATGAGTGGAGGTAAGAAATAGCAAGGGGAAGATGACACTGTGGAAGTAGTCCAAAGGCCTCCTAATAGTATCTATGTTATAGCTCAGTGAATAAATCAGGACAAAGTGATAGAATGTAGTGCATTTTTACATTAAACATGGGTGTCATTAATCCTCATATAGATTGGGGAAAATCAAAGTCACAACAAAGATTTTGTAAATTGATAAATTCGTGGAATGGATTTGGGATAGTTTCCCAAAACAATAGATTATAGATCCAACCAGGAATCGGGTTATTTTGGATCTGGTAATGTATAATGAGGCAGGTCTAATAATTGAGCTCAGAGTCACAGATCCTTAATGGAACAGTGACCATAATACGATTGATTTCATCTTGAGACTGAGAAAACAGGGTTGGAAACAACAGTGCTGAACTTAAACAAGGGTATTCACAAAGTAATGATGGCAGAGACAACAGGAACAGAATGGGAAAGAGTTTAACAGAAAAGACATATGATGAACAATGATAGACCTTTAAGAAAGTAGTTCATTATCCACAACAGGATTTATATCAATGAGGAAAAAAGGTTCCAGGAAGTGGATAAACCAACCTAGGAAGTTAAGAATCGTGTCAGATTGGAAGAAAGACCATATAATGTGGCAAAGATTAGTGGTAGACCAGAGGATTAAAAGAGTTTTAAAAACCAACAAATATTGACCAAAAGAAAAGCAAGGAGGGAGAAAATAAACTAAGAGTAAACTAGCAAGTAATAAAGAAAAGCATTGTGAGCGCCTCTTTAAATATATGAAAAAGAAGAGAGAGGCCACAGTGAGTATGGGTCCCTTAAGGAATGAGACTGGGAAAGTGTTACATGAATGCTTGCATCAGTCTTCATGGTCTGAAACACTAACAGCATTCCAAAAATGCTAAATAATCAAAGGGCAAAAGTGACAAAGAGTGGAGTGGAAACAAAAACAATAACTAGCACTAGAGAAAAAAATGCCAGGGAAAGTAATGGGGCTAAAGGCTGACGAGTTCCCTGGACTTGATGGTTGTATCCTAGAATATTAAAGGAAGCAGCCATAAAAATGGAGGATGCACTGGTAGTAATCTTTCAGGAATCCTTAGATCCTATGTCTTAATATGGTTTACTAGGGTCCACTGGCCTAGAATGGAGGTTTTGTGGCGCAGTTTACCATGCTTCCCTGTCATTAGAAACTCTTGATTTGAGTCCCAAGCCAGGATTTTTTGGCTGTGGAAAGTAAGTTGTGCTACAGCCAAACCTGTTACTTTTTAGCCTGTAAATCCTTCAATCTGCCAGATAGTAGGTGGTAACAGTGACAGAGTCTCTTGGTCAGCCATCCTGCCAAAGGCAGTGGCAGTTCACTGCAGTGCTTTATCCACAACCATGGGACAAGTCCATAATCTGACCCTTGGAAATGAGGATGGGAGAGAAAACAGGCATACAGACTGGGTCAAAATGGATTTGAAGGTTTATTTCTCACACTAGACCTACTCCAGAGCACTCCCTGAAATTGTAATCACAGACAGTCTAACCATGAACAGGATGCTACTTGAGTGATCCTATGCAACCAGAAAATTGGTGTTCCTTAAAACAAGATCTGTGCAATATCATAGTGAAGCCATTTTTGAGGATGCATTTCGATACCAATTCTTTGTAACTTTTATTTTCCAGGAGAGCATTTTGCAGAAAGTGGTAATGACAGCTTTTGCTAATTGCACTGTGGTGACAATTGCAGTAAGTGATAACTTTATGTATTTGTACTATTATGCTTTATATACAAAGATCATCTGTATTTTTGAAGGATTCACTGTTGTCAATTTTTAAATATTTTTGAACATGTGAAGTTTTATTCTTTAGCATTGCATTACACTGGTTTGTCTTTATAATTTTTTGAATTGTCTTATTTAAAGGCGATCTCTAGATAAATTAGGGCTTCATCTTTAATCAATAATCCAGATTATCACAGCACTTTTTAAAAAAAATCTATAATGACAGGATATAAATTGGGAAATGTCTGCCTCATATTGTACTACTGTAGCTTTTACTGAAATTGCTCAAATAAAAAATTAGATCAAATGGGAACTTTTCATGGGAGGCACCTTTTCTCAGTGACATCAGATTTAGCAAGAGAGACATGTCATCTCAAAACAGCAGGGCAAAAAATATAACTTTCATCTTCAACTTTGTCCACAGGGAGAGTATGTCATGATTTCATGTCCTTTGAAGACTGATGAACTTCAAGTACAGGAAGCTTTATATCAACATCAGTGCAAATGTAAATTATCCTTAACTTTGTCAGATAGAGTAAGTCAGAGAAAGCACTAATTGTAGCACCATACATTTTGTTGGTGTGTAACAGTGAGTTAGGTGACAACAAATCACTAGCCTATCTTTCCTCTGCTGTACTGACTTTAACAAAAATAAGAATCAGGAGAGATTCTGCAATCACCCATTTTGCACTATCGCAATATAAAGGAGAGGAAAAAAAAAGCACAAAATGGTGAATAATATAATTAAATAAGTCACTTGAATAAACATGGCAGTTATTATCATAAGTTCAGTGGAATAGAGGCAGAATTTTAAAACTGAGAGTTGGAAAACTGCACTCTTTATGAGGTAGCCAATATTAAATAGCATACTGGATTAATTCAGTCTATCAGTCAGTCCATACCTGTAAAGGAATACTCCCTTGAGGCAGATGGTGTCCTTTGATTTTTCATGACCATATTTTAGCTTGTGTTTACTGCTGCTCTAAGTTTCTGCCATATTTTGACAAAATTCCATTTGTTGTTCTACTCACATGATAATTCCTCTCTCTCTTTCTTTCCTTCACCATCTCCATCATTCAATTGTTGTTTTTCTCTGCTGTTTCTCCTTTCAGCATCGTGAGACTTCCATTCTGGATACAGACCTAGTGTTAGTCTTTTGCGAGGGTATCTTAGTGGAGTGTGATACTTCCTCACAGTTGCTCTCCCAGGAGGAGAGCACTTTTGCCTCTCTGGTGACGTTCAACAAGTAGAGGAGTCCAGTGTACACTACTGGCACAGAGTCCAGCTCTTGGGTTGGTAGACTTGATGGATACTGGCATCAGCTGTGCACACCAGCAATTTTGAGCTTCTTTGTTTTTCTGCTAGAACCTTCACACAAACACGCAAGCTTACTGTGTCTTGAGTACCAAAGTTGACGTGGTGATGTTGCGCAGCTTTTGTACTTTGAGACCTGTGCAGCTTTTGCCATTCAAGAACTTGGTTAATGTCTTATCTCAAAAAAAAGAGCTTTGACTTTCATTTGTTAATCACAACCTAACTTGATCATAACAAAATGAGCTGTTAACTGCTAAACTTGAAGCATCCTCGAATTTTTTTCCAGATATTTACTGTCATTATGTTCACATCTGGTATTTGACATTCCAATAATGTTAAGTATAATAATCAGCTTTGATTTTTATTAGAAGACCATGTTGAAAGGTATATAGTAGCTCTGGAAGCTCATCACAGGCACAAACAGTGGTAATTGGAGTTTCTTTTGTTCCTCAGTAAATCAGCTCTTAACCTTATTGATTGATAGGTCTTCAATTTTTTGTTATGTTCCTTCCACGTTTGCTGATTGCAAAATGTGATTTCTGTAAGCAAACACTATTTAACTGATTAAACTGCTTTCACATTGATGCATTGACATGGCAGGGCCCACATTCACAAGGGTTTTATCCCTCGAAACAGACAGAGGAGTCTTCTCCTCTGGGTGCTAAGTGTATTAAGAAAATAGATTTCAATATAAAAGGTGAGCAGTTAGTGGAAATAGACTAGAAAGTTTGTTCCCTAAACTAACTTGTGCTTTGTTGTCAGCTTACAAAGGAGAGTCAAAGGCTTAAAAGTTCAGACAGAGTTCAGTTTAAATAATATTATGCAGCTCCATCTGAAGGAAGTGGCAATTGACCAAACTTCCAGTTAGAATGAGAATTCACTATTTCAAGTAGACCTTACAGTTACGAAAGTAATTTTTTCGCTGAGTCAGGTAGCCCTGACCCAGTCAAATTCTTGCTAGCATCTCTGGTTTAATGTGATTTCTGTTAGCAACCTAAATTAGACACTGTTTCAAACAGCCAGCTCTGACATGACCCAACTCTCATTAGTATCCCATTAACCCAAATGAACTTACTGCTGGAAATCAGCTGCTTTAAGCTAGAGAAGATAGACCTACTTGACTAATGATACTGAGAGTGCCAGATTTTTGAATGTATTTTTTAAAAATAAATTTAAAATTCATACACAAATTGACTGAACCAACAGCTGGTAAGGTCAAGCCATCTATGTTATTCTCTACTGCCTGGTGTATACGATAGACATTGTAAATGCTTCCTTGGCCCATTCCAATCGGGTCCAGGTCAAATGTTGACCAGATAATGTAGCTACATGCCAGATTAGCTGCATAGGAAGTGTTAAAATGACAGTGTTACACACACAATGGGAAAGGTGGCCTTGTGATTTTAGTACAGGATTCATGACTGGGCTAATAACTGCACCGTAGCACACTGTAACTGCATTCAGTGAACCTGTGACTGAGAAATAGAAGCAAAATGTAAATGCTGCTGGAATGTCATTCAAACCCAACTGCTTTGCTAAGGGAAGGGAAAAGGACCTTGTCTGAACTACCCACGTGATCTATCCATGCTTGACTCTTAATCCCTCAGGGATGCACAACAAATGCTACCTTGCCAGAATTGGACAAAACTAGCTAAAGTAACATTTGGGCACTCACCGTTCTGATTGGCAGACATTAAGTATGGCCAGAAGTATATTTCACCAAAGTGGGAGCAGCTTGATGGACTAACCTCCTCCTGTTCCTGTGTTCCCAAAACGAAATCCAAATTAGCCAATTTTGCTAGTCAATACTATTTGGAGCAGATGTGCCCTTGAACAAGCATGTTGGGAAACCACAAGGTAACTCCCAGTAATACTAAACTTCTGAAAATGGAGGGGGGGGGTGGTGTGAAATGCAATTTCCTGACAAATAAACCCTGCCTAATAACATAAACAAGTAAATTAAGCTTTACCACTTAGCATTTTGTAATTTTCTACTGACTTTTGTGTATATGGGCCAAGGTATTCCTGCACGAACGAGGTGTGAAACTAACATCAAATACAGAATAATTGTATAAAGGCGGCTAATTTTCTCAATGCTGCAACTGGCTCCCAGCCTCTCTGCACAGAAGTGCTTACCCCCAAATTGTGGATGTACTTAAGTTTCAGATGTACAGTTAGTATAGGGCCATGGTTTTCCAATATAAATGTTCGTGCTGAGTAAGAATCCTTGCCAGAAGAGCACATTGAGAAAGTTGTCCCTCACAAAGGTAAATTTTCTGTGTGAATTTGAAGCATTTCAGGACACGGTGTTCTCTATATGTAGTGCTAGTGTGGGCATGCTGCAATTTCTAAGCTTAACTGTTTTATGATAAGATTTATAAATCTGAGATTGACGTAAGACATAGAAACCTGAACTTTATTGTCCCTTTTAACTCACAGCTACTGTTGGTTGGATGATCTTGTTTAAGTATTTCAATGCATTTAATCTCCAGGTAAGTCGGGTACAGTTCACCAATAATCTACTTGAAAGACAGAACAGGTTTGACAGACAGACATACAGACAGACAGAATGAGCCACTCGTATTCCTAGATGTTCCTTTTTATTAAATGGATAAGGGTGGTGACCACAATACCCATGTAAATAATGGTCCAGATTTTGTGATAGCAGCAATAGAGAAACTATCGGCTCTCATTGTCATTACGCCTCGGAAACTGACAGCAACTTCTGAAGTCTGCAGTTGCACAGTTAAACGTAGAAATCCAAAGGTTTCTGTCAGTGGTTTTACATTTCAATTTACATTGCGCCATAGGGTGCACTGTTGAAGTACCCGCAGACTGCAATGTAGTAGAAATCACTGAACTGATGAAAACATCACCTTCCTACGCAATTAGTATCACTGTAAAAACCCTTGAAAATGTTGCATCTTGTTAAATGAGATGTAGTTGAAGTTTAAACAGACTACCAACTTCATAATTACAGATGAACAGCCTCACTGAATTTCTAAGCATTAATTTTATATATTCAGGTTGTTAATTATCTCTGCGATACAAAAATTCACAGATTTTTAAAATTTATTTTATAAAGTTTTTTAATACTTCCTCATTCTCAATTCCATGATAATGTCACACTTCTTTATCTTACTCTTTTAAAAATGCAATTAAAATTGAGATACTCAGTGTATCCTAATTCCTTTTGCTGATTGTAAGAATATGATTGGCTGCATACCATTTTTATGACATCACTGCTGCTAGATGCCTGTAGATTCCATTTACTTGGCACCAGATTCAAAGCAATGTCAGGAAAATGGAAATCCATTGTATGGAGACCATTAAATCTTTAAAGACAACTTTATTCGAGGTCCATAGTGTGTGCTGTCTCTTTATCACCAACCATATTTTTGGACCATGATGATTGAATTTTGACCAGTTCACTGAACTTGGGCTATGTCCTAAATTGCTGTTTGTTTTTTCCTTCATTTTTCTGCAGCATCGTGTACACACAATACTAACTGCGGACCTGGTTATCGTGATGAAACGGGGAAACATTCTTGAATATGACAAACCTGAAAGTCTCCTGGCCCACGAAGGTGGCATCTTTGCATCTTTTGTTAAGGCTGATATGTAAATCTTCCAGAGATCTCACTTTGCAAGTTAACGTTTTTCTCTTTCTCTGCAACCACAATTTTGTATTTTTTTAAATATAAAGTTTACAAGTCTTCCTTAAAAGAGAATATGTTTTTATGCACTGTCTCTAAGAAAAGGAAAGTTGCCACTGTCTTGTTAAAGATCATGTCCCACAAGATGTCACACCTCATTTTAAAGACAGCCTTTTAATTCTAGAGCTTTCACATTTAATTACCTTTAAACAAGTGCAAGCTTAAGCAAGTTACAGGACACAAAGCAAAATTGAGGGCAGTTCCACTGTTCATGAACAATGGATTTGTGCAAACTTTTCAGAAGTGCACAGTGAAATGCAGCAATGATTAGGAAATATTTCAGCACAGTAATAGGATGGCTTTGATAGTGACAGCTGAGGTTAATGTGACTTTGAACTCATGCCTCGTTACTTATTTTGGATGACACTTTCAAATACTCATTTAATCAGTTAATAACATAATGTTACTGAAACTTGGATAAGACTGTAAATTGCAGATGCATGTTGGAAGGGGGAAATTGTCTGTGTTTAAAATGAAAAATTGGACAGTAGCTACAGATTGGGATAATCGAACCTGGCTGAATTCTAGTCACACAAGTACAAGTCACAACAAGAGGTGTTACTGCAATTACAAAGGCTTCATAATCCACTCTTCAATATTTAGAAAAAGATCATCAAAAATTACTAGACTGTGTACACGCATGTGTACAGAACAGAGAAGATGAAGGAATCATTTGAAACATCACCTGGGATGCCTAATAATTCTGCACTTGAAGTAGCTTTAACGTAGTGCTGAACATATGCAATATCTGGACACGAGGCATTGGAAATGAAATCAAAAAACGTTGGGAATTCTCAGTGAGTCAGCCAGCTTCTGTTGAGAGAGGAACAGAGTTAATCAGAGTTTCAGCTCTGCGTCCTTTCATCAGAACACTCTAACAACATGTATTTTCCACCAACAATGCCATTTTGAGGTCCAACGATAGTGATCGTGAGTCCCACCACTTACATCAAGTTGCCTCACACCACATCATACGTTTTTGTTTCACCCCTTCTCGTGCCCCAACTGAGTAGACCTCTCACTTCGCACCACCTCTAGATCCTGCCATCTCTAGTTTTCTACGGCAACTGTTCTGAACCAGAAGAAACTATAGAGTTTTGAACACAGCCCAGTCCATCACATAAGTCAACCTTCAATCCATGGACTTTGTATACACTTCTCACTGCATCAGAAAGGTAGCCAACATCATCAAAGACCCCTCCCACTCCAGTTATGATCCCTTCCAACCTCTTCCATCAGGCAGAAGGTACAAAAGCTTAAACACACATATCAACAGGTTCAAGAACAGCTTTTTCCCTGCTGTTTTTAGACTTCTGAATGGACCTCTCAAATTTCAAATCTAATATTGATCGTGTTTTTTGTGCACCTTCTTTGCAGCCATAACTCTGTATTCCTCACTCTGTTCTATCACCCTGTGATCTTCATATGGTATGATCTGCCTGTACTGCATGCAAAACAAAATTTTTCACTGTGCCTAGAAACCTGTGACAACATAAATAAAATAAAATCTCACACATATCAATGCTGTAATGCTATATGTACCCTAATAATTCAATAACTTTTACTGAGTCCAAGTTCCAAAATTATGAAAGAACAGGTGCAGGGACAACATTGGAAGGCTAGCTAGGTTTCTGTATCCCAAGGCTGTATTTCTGAAAGTACTTTCTAATATTTATAAGCTAACCTGTACAAAAGAATCAAATTTTTGTTGAAAGTTACAAAATAAATGGTATTGAAGCATTAACGTTAAACTAAATTTATAAGTCACACGGGACAATAACATTAAAATAAGACACAGACAAGAAGTTGTAAAAGAAACAGTAATAGTATTTTTTAATGGGTATGAATTGCCTGTACTGCACGCAAAACAAAACTTTTCACTGTACCTAGGTATGTGTGACAGTAATAAATAAAACCAGATCTCTCACATGTCAATGTAGTAATGCTATGTGTACCCTAATAAGTCACACAGGACAATTACATTAAAATAAGACACATAGACAAGAAGTTGTAAAGCAAACAGTAATGGGAATATATGCAACTTCTCGCATGCATTGAAATTTACTGCATGCAACATATTTAAGTGATAATATAATGTGTTCCATAATAATATTCCAACCAATAATGTCAGTGGATTTTACTAACTCAGTATCTTGATTCTATTGTTTGGTTATTCACTTATTTGCCATTTGTGCAATGCTAAAACCTTTCCAACATTTAAAAAGTGCTTTTTAGACTTCTTGAGAGCTGGATCTGGTGCTATACATATTCAAATTCTTTCTTGTTTGCACTACAGACAATCTTTTTCTATACCTTCTAGGTGCTAGCACACATGTGGAAAATACTTCTTTCACTATTTTTTAAAATGTAATTCATAAAGCCTGTAAATCATAGAACCCCTACAGTGTGGAAGCAGGCCATTTGGCCCATTCACTACAAACTGACCCTTTGAAGTGCATCCTACCCACACTCACCCTATAACTCTGCATTTCCTGTGGCTAATCCTCCTAACCCACCCACTCCTGGACGCTGTGGGCAATTTAGCATGGCGAATCCACCTAACCTGCACATCTTTGTTGAAATTGGAGCAAACCCACCCAGGCACAGGAAGAATGTGCAAAAATCCACACAGACAGTCACCTGAGGCTGGAATCGAACCCAGGTCCCTGACGCTGTGAAGCAGCAGTGCTAACCACTGAGCCACCATGCCACTAATACCAGTATAAAAGACTGATTTATATAAAATATTTAACCATGAGTACAGTGCATTGCTTTATTACCAGCAACTAAGAAATGACACAGGATCTTTATTTCCTGTAAGATGGTATAAGTGTTTTTAAAGATTTTAATTGTCCTGTTGAGCATCTTTGCAGAAATCCTTAGACCCATCAAATGAAACATAAAATGGTGATAAAACTGTTACATAAAACTGACTAACTTGTCTTCTATTTACACTTCAGTTATATTAAAATTATGACAAACTTGCATTTCATGTCTGAGTTGTTTTCAATTTGAAAACTGATTATTATTTGAAAGTAAAATCCAATCTCTGTATACTAAAAGGAGTTTTTGAAATCCAGAGTAATCCGTATATGGTTAAAAAAAAGGACAGTGTACAACTTAGCTGAAATTTTCCTGGAAAGATCTGTATCACTTTTTCCTTGGTTGAAATAGTATGACAGGATGAACATGTTGTGCCAGTACATAATGCCAATAATATTTTCATTCATTGCGAATAAGACTGCATGATGTACACCAAACTTAACCAACCCATATGCAATGCTAGAATGAAGTAGCATTGACCACTTTAACACTGAGCAACACCATCCACTTTTGCAGTATTGTAAATAGATATCCAAGATTCAGTATTCATTTGGAATGCAGAACAACAATTGTATGCCACGGCCACTTTTACATTTTCTATTCAATTAAATGCAAACATTGCTTATTCTTGCTGTGTGGTCTGTTCAATTTAAATGAGTGATTGCCAGAAACAAGTGGGAGCTCCATTACAGAATCTGGGTAACTGAGAAAATTAGGTAGTTACAACTCTGACACTTTTTCTTCCCCACCACTGTTACTGATTCTGTCTACACACAATGGGTGACACAAGTCATAAGGTGCCTGATTTCCAGTGGGTCATTCAATTGATTTGGGGTAATGCTGTAAAAGGTAGTCTATTAACTTGCATTAGGTAGTGCTTGCAGGAATCTGAAACCTCCCAACAAAGTTCATAGGGCCAGAAAAGTGGTTGCAGTTCTCAGTCTAGAAATGCAGAAACGGGCCTTGCTTCTATACAGAAATGGTTACAGTGTTGTCACATCCTGCAATAAAGCTGTAATAACAAGAGTGATTGTTGCCTGCTGCATTCAAGATCACTGCTGTCCTTAGGTTCTTTGACTGCAGTTCGCTCACTGATACCTGGAATAGGCAGGGGAGGGTATTATGAGGAAAAGCATGGCAAATTAGGTCTGTGTCAACCGGAATTCAGAATGAATTAAAAAATGATCTTCTTGTAACATATAAGATTCTGATGGGATTTGACAGGGTAGATGCTAAATGGATATTTTCCCTTCTGCAAGAACCTGGAACTATTTTAAAAATAAGAGATCTTTCATTTAAGAAGGAGATTACACTTTTTTTTGTTCTGAGGGTTGCATGCCTTTCAGAATTCTTTATCACACAGTGCAGTGAAGGTTGGGTTCTTGAATAATTTTAAGACAGAAGTAGGGAGATTCTTGAGTCAAAGTATATCAGGATAGACAGGAAAATTGAGTTGAAGTCACAATCTGATGAGCCATGGAACGGTACAGCAGGCTTGAGGGGCTGAAATGGCCTAGTCCTGTTCCTAAATTGCACGTTAGCACATGCCTTCCAGGTTACACTTTTTATGGTGGCTTAGCAGTGAGCACCGCTGCCTCACAGTACTAGGGACCCAGGTTCGATTCCACCCTTGGGCGACTGTGTGGAGTTTGCACATTCTCCCTGTGTCTGTGTAGGTTTCCTCCCACAGCCCAAAGATGTGCAGGCTAGGTGGATGGGCCATGCTAAATTGCCTGTGGCGTTCAGGGAAGTGTAGATTGGGTGGGATACCCTGAGGGTCGGTGTGGATTTGTTGGGTCAAAGGGCCTGTTTCCGCACTATAGGGATTCTATGAATCTATGACACTGAATATCATTAACATTAGTGAATCTTCAGTTGATGCTCGCATTAAGCAGGTGATTAATACCTTGCTGAAGCAAAAATATGTCACTTTGTGCATAACCAGTGCAGTAATATAGGACCTGGGGGTTCACACTGTTTACAGAACTCTCCACAAATCCAAAGACTCATTGATTGTACTTACGCTCCTCAACATGGATCTCTTCATACACCACCACTGTATACATGAATCACAAAGATGCCAACCCACTGATCTACAACTAACACCAGCGGTGTACCTTCCTGACTCATTCATATTATGGCCCTCCTCCATCATTTCATTCTTTTCTCTGCAAAGTGAATGAGATTTTTGATTAAGGCAAGTGTTATCTAACTCCCTACACACATTTTGCTCATGGCTTCTCTCAGTGATTTACACTTGGCAGATCCACAGTCTAACTGGAACGCTGAAGCAATTCTCACGCCCACACAAAACTGGTGACTTCCTGTAACATGACTCTCAAAGACTTCCAGCATTATTGTGGTTGGTTGTACGAGCTCTGTTGCATTTTCACCACTATATATGGACAAAATTATCTGGCTATCTGCAATCTAAAAACCAGGCAGTAATTTAATTGACACCTTCAGAACCTCATGAATAACACTCTCCATGGGCGATAAGTACAAAAACAAGCAGAAGTGTAAATTTGTCCAATTTTGAATAAAGTTTTGATTCACAAGAATGCAGCAGTTACGGAATATATTTCATTAGGCCGTAAATACTCTCAGAACTCCTCCCAGCCATTTGTTTCCCTGATGCTTGCAATGAAATTACCACAGGTGTAACTGTAGAAACTTCCTGGCAAATGAAGTGGCGGTTCCTCATTTATCTTCACCCTGATGTTAAGCCAGACTTGTTTGCTGATTGCAAAAGAGATTTCATAAACAAAAACTTTTGAAATGTTACTTTCGGTTTTAAGATTGTTTAAACTTAAACTCCCCAGTCAGGAGTTCATTAGTTCAAGTCTTTCATCAGTTACTATTACAGATATTGGTGGTGTAGTGGTAATCTCAATGGATGAGCCATTCAGTATTCCCCAGAATTTAAATTCAATATTCCTGGAATGAAAAGACATTATTAGTGATGCGATCTTGAGACCACTGGATTGTCCCAAAAGGTAGGAGCAAATTACTGCAGATTATGGAATCTTTACTGGAAACAAAAATGATGCTAGAGATCACAGTGAGTCAGGCAGCATCCATGGAGAGAGAGCAAGCTAACGTTTCGAGTCTAGATGACTCTTTGTCAGAGCTGAAATGAAGTGTGGAGGGTCAGTATTTATGCTACAGTTGTGGGGGTTGGCAATGGTGAGTTGTAGAGCATTAGTGGAGAAAAGATGTTGATAGTTCAGATTAAGTTATAGGAATGTGAGAATGGCAGAACAATGGTGTGCCTAACTGCAAGGCTTGAAAGAGAAGATAGTTCCACGAGGGTCAGGGAGGGGAGAGAGGACATGGTGACAGAAAATGTAACAAGTAAAGCTAAAAGGGAAGGAATGGGAGTTGGTTCACAATTTGAAAGTGTTGAACTCAACATTAAGTCCAGAAGGCTGTAAAGTACCTAGTCTGAA